CGACTAAGGGATCGCCAGGAGAACGGGCAGCAGCGTTCTCCTGAATAACATTACATCTACTGCGATCGCCAACCCGCCTGCCAAGCGTGGTGATTATGGCAATAACCCCCAAATGAATAAAGGCATTAACACAACGGCCCCGAATCACGGCGACCCCGCTATTCCAGCTCACGGTGCTCACGGTGCTGGCCCTGGTAACACACAACATTCGCACGCTCAGAACTAACGAGAGGATTGCCGAGCTGGAAGAGGAATTGAGCAAGATTCGGTGGGACATTGTAGGGTTGTCCCGAAGACAGGGGGAGGACACGATAACCCTCCGGTCTGGAAACTTGCTCTATCACCGGGAAGGCGACGACTGGTCGCAAGGCGGTGTCGGGTTTATCGTTCGTAAGTCTCTCGCAGCCAACGTGGAGAGGATTGAGAGTGTGTCGAGTCGGGTAGCGTACCTGATACTCAGAACTAACTAAACTAACTAAACGGTATTCGCTGAAGGTCATCCAGGGGGCCATTCGCCTAACGGGATTGCTTTGGAAAACGCTATCGCTTACGATTTCATTTTGTTATTTCTAGCCACCTGAGGTTTTCAAATGCTTCACGGTCTTTATTTTTCTTTTGCATTGGTAATAACAATATTAAATAAAATGAGCGTGAGGTATTTGAAAGCCTTCCGGGGTCAGAAATAACAAAATGAAATCGTAAGCGATAGCGTTTACCAAATCAATCCCGTTAGGCGTCTACGCGCCGACCTCGAGGCACCCCGACGATGAGGTGGAGGCTCTCTACGAGGATATCTCGAAAGCCATCCGCTCATTCAAAACTCACTTCACTGTGGTTATGGGAGACTTTGACGCGAAACTAGGCAAAAGGAAAAGCGGTGAGTTGAGAGTAGGGCAATTCGGATTCGGGCAGAGAAATCAAAGAGGGCAGAAGTTGGCTGATTTTTTGGAGAGGGAAAATCTCTATATGATGAATTCCTTCTTCAAAAAGTCGCAACAAAGGAAATGGACGTGGATAAGCCCTAATGGTTCGACACGAAACGAGATAGACTTTATCTTGTCAGACAAACGGCAAATATTCAATGATGTCTCAGTGATTAACAGGGTGAAAACCGGAAGCGATCACCGAATGTTACGAAGCACATTGAATATTCGTGTCAAAGCCGAGCTGTCCCGACTGATGAAGTCTGCTCTGCGTCCCACACCTGCCGAGTACGAAAACCCCGAGAGCTTTCGACTCGAACTCCAAAATCGCTTCCAATGCCTAGACGAGTGGGAAACGGCGAACGATATAAACAACAAGTTTGTGGAAACTGTACACACGGTTGGGTCGAAATTTTTCAGGACCCGCCGTGCTCCTAGAACCGGAAAACTCTCTGACCACACTCTTGAGCTCATGGAGCGGAGGAGGGAAATGACGGTGCAGTCTCCAGCCTCCTGGTCTAAGATGAGGCAGCTAAATAGACAGATCTCGAAGTCTGTGCGATGCGATATTCGACTCTACAATACCAAGCGTATTAAAGAGGCGATAGAGCGGAACCAAGGCTCCAAAGTGTTCGCAAAAGATCTGTCTGTTGGGCAGAGTCATTTGACCAGACTGAAGACCGACACTGTCATTTCTTCCAAAGATGAGATCTTGAGTGAGGTCGAGCAGTTCTATGGACAGTTGTATAAAACATCCCAAACTCCTGTTGTCGGCTTGGTCCAAGATCCACGATCCAAGCTAACCCGACACTACACCGAGGACATCCCGGCCCGGATGTCAGCCTGTACGAGATCAGAATGGCTCTCGAGCAGCTTAAAAACAGTAAAGCACCGGGCGATGACGGAATCACTACGGAGCTTCTGAAGGCGGGCGGTAAGCCGGTCCCCGTGGCCCTTCAGAAGCTATTCGACTCTGTCATCCTCGGGGGCATTGTTCCAGAGGCGTGGACCAGGAGCGTGGTGGTATTGTTCTTCAAGAAAAGCGATAAACCCCGCTTGAAGAACTATCGACCTATCTCGCTCTTGAGCCACGTCTATAAGTTGTTTTCGAGAGTCATTACAAATCGACTTTCGCACAGGTTCGACGACTTCCAGCCTCCCGAACAAGTCGGTTTCCGAAAGGGCTTTAGTACCATGGACCACATACATACGCTGCGTCAGATCATACAGAAGACCGAGGAGTATAATCGGCCTCTGTGTCTAGCGTATGTGGACTATGAGAATGCCTTCGATTCGGTCGAGACTTGGGCGGTGCTGCAGTCCCTCCAGCGGTGCCAAATTGACTATCGATATATCGAAGTGTTGAAGTGTTTGTATAGAAACGCCACTATGTCAGTCCGAATCCAGGAGAAAAGTACGAAGCCGATTCCATTGCAGAAGGGTGTCAGACAGGGCGACGTAATTTCCCCGAAACTGTTCACCGCTGCATTGGAAGACGTCTTCAAGCTTCTGGATTGGACCGAACTCGGCATGAACATCAACGGCGAATACATCACTCGCCTTCGATTTGCAGACGATATCGTGGTTATGGCAGAATCCCTGGAGGACCTTGGCACAATGCCCAATGACCTCAGCAGAGTTTCCCAACGGGTTGGTTTAAGGATGAACATGGATAAAACCAAGGTCATGTTCAATGTCCATGTCACTCCAGCACCAGTATCTGTTGGGAATGCGATCCTCGAAGTTGTCGATCATTACGTCTGCCTAGGACAAACAGTCCAGTTGGGCAAATCCAACTTCGAGAAAGAGGTCAACCGACGAATCCAACTCGGATGGGCAGCGTTCGGGAAGCTTAGGCACATCCTCACGGCCAAAACTCCCCAGTGCCTTAAAAGAAGGGTCTATGACCAGTGTGTGTTACCAGTGATGACTTATGGGACTGAGACGTGGTCTCTAAATGTCGGCCTCATAACAAAACTCAAAGTCGCGCAACGTCTATGGAAAGGGCTATGCTCGGTGTTTCCCTACGTGATAAGATCCGAAATACGGAGATCCGTAGAAGGACCGGTGTGTACGACATAGCCCAAGAGTTAGCACGCTGAAGTGGCAATCCCATGGCCACATCGCTCGAGGATCTGACAACCGTTGGGTAAGAAAGGTCCTCGAGTGGCGACCACGTACCGGACGACGCAGCGTGGGGCGGCCCCCAACACGGTGGACTGACGACATCGTCAAATGTGCTGGGAGCCGCTGGATGCGGATAGTGCAGGACCGCGCATTGTGGCGTTCTATGGGGGAGGCCTATGTCCTGCAGTGGACGGAGAAAGGCTGATGGATGGATGGATGATAATATAACAATAACATTATGACAATTGATAAAGGACACCCGGCATTTTGTGCCAAAGTTGTATACTTTTTAATTTTTTTTATCTATGTTTCATAATTGGGTAACGTAGTCTGGCAATATTTGTCATCAGCAGCTAGCTGTCAATGTCAAATACGTAGGTTTGTCATCAAAAGGGTTTCTGTATCAAAAAATATTAATCATTAAATAACTTCTTTCCACGATTCACTAAAAATAAGGTAAAAGTAGTTTTATGTAGCAAATAATTTTGGCTTTATTTTGAGACTCAACTGTATACAAGTTTAGCATTTTTTCTATGAAAAGTGCCGGGTCTCCTTTAATTAACTTAATCCTTTAATAAAATTTTCTAGTTAAGTGGCTATTCGTACTTTCGTCCCTACTTATCAAGGTAACCACGGTAGAACAGCGTCGGACAGTCTACGACATCCGACACATGCTGAGTGGACTGCCTTTTTAGTGATGCAAATGTTTAGACCTAATTTATTGTATTTATCTATAAGGTATATTGATTTCATGTACTAATTTGTGTCACAGAATAAAACATTTTCTTTCTATCTTTCTTTAAAAATTCTGTCAAATGGCCTGTGTTTTTGTGTTAAAAATTACATTATATTAAATTGTTTTAAACTTGAAAAGGTTTTTGAAATCATTTACAGTTTGTCTATAAAGTCGTGACATGAATGTTTGAGGAACTAACATTATTCATGTGTCTGGCAGCACCAAACTTATGTACATCAGCTGTCATCGAGTTTCAGTTGTGAAACAGTTTTCCTTTTGTATTTTTTATTGTTTGGATTAAACTGTAATAAATTAAGACGAAACTACGCAGAAAGGTATAAAAATGAGAAAAGTAAATCGGGAGTGGCACGCGGGAAGTGATTTTTAAAGTTTTCCAGCGATGTTTCGAAGACTACCAAGCTGGACGAATTTTGTGAGATATGGACGATGTTTATGGGCGAACAGCATCTATGACGGGTATGAAATCGTGTAACTATTTGTTTGTAATCTGCCTGAAGTTACAAATTTACTCAATTTACGATTTTGAGACCAAAGAAGGCATTGTTTACATTGCACATTTTTAGGTTAGCTTGACATTGTAAATAGGTAATATAGTAGTACGACCGTTTCTTTTGATACGTTATTATGGTTCAACTCGGTCAGGTTTTCTACCAATTTTGAATTAATTGCTTCATGTCAATAAGTTATTGTTTCTATTCCAAGGTCTTGTCAATGAAGGTTTTAAGAATGATGGAAAGTTTGAAACTCCTGGTAAAACAGGCAAGGCCGACCAAAGAAAGAAATGGCCACATAAAGAACCATGGCCAGATGCTTTTAGATATGCTTGATTCGAAGATATCTATCACTAATTTTACTAACTGCACATTTACAAATTGTTTCTCTAAATAAACTTTTTATATACTATAAAATGATTTTTAGTATTATTTTCTTAACAAGTGTGTTAAAAAACGTCGTATGATGATACTTGTGTGTATTGATGATTACCTAACGGCTCTGATCTCAATGGCACCTCAGCGGTAATCACCAACATTACACACTTTTACACTATAAAGTACTATTTTATCTACAATAATTTTATTCTGATTCAATTAAATATGCTTGGCTAACCTTTTTATAAGCATAGGTACCTACTATATATAAAACAGAAACAAAATACGACTGCATAGTGTGTCTTATTAATTACCTATTTTATTGAATGAACTGCTAGTATCAAAATCATTTTGGTCCGACTGTATAGGGTTGCTACGTGCATACTAGTAGCGCCATCATTTAATGTCACGACTTTGTAGACAAACTGTACATATATATAGCTAAGCCATAATAAAAGATACTTTAAAAAAAACTACGCCCTAAAATTACCGACTCAACAAATTTTATCTCTGTTGACAATGAAGAACAATAATGATTTCTTTCATATTTAGAACTAATTTCAAATTTCGAATATGAAACTTCAAGGGCGCTCAAATGTCAAAACGGCCATCATAGCGTGCCGCTACTATAGGGGCTCAATGTGCGCTTGCGCAGATAGGGTATAGTTAAGTATGATGTTCTTAGATTTAAACAAGAAGGGAAGATACGCTTTAGTCACAATTGGACATTGAAACACGCTGCATGTGCACTCAATATAACAATATTACGTATATTCTGTGTCATAAAGATATAACAATGCTTTTAAAAAGAACACAAATAGTTCAAAATCAAATAACAAATGCCTCGGCAACACTTTTCGTTCCTAAAACTGTAAAAAACATTTTTTTCTTAAATATCACGGTTTGCTGTGAATCTTATTTACGTAATCGCCATTTTGTTATCAAGAAAAAGACAACAATACACCTCAGCCGTACGGACTCGAAGCGGACTCGCACCGTTTCGCTCGCGCAGCATTCAAGCGTGCAGTTCTGTCTCGCTCGCTCTATTCAATGTTTATATACAGACGTGTGCGTGTGTGAGAGTTGCATATGTAGTTGAGTCGGATCATATTTTATTTGATGCTAGCATGAACGTACCGTATCTTCCCTTTTTGTTTTAGTCTAAGATGATTTCGTGTACCGTGTTAGGAATTGGAGTTGTGCATCGGCTGCATGCAGAACCAAGCGGACGTGAAACTGAACCGGCGCTGCCTGGCGCCGCCGCCGCACCTGGAGGGCGGCCCGCCGCAGTGCCAGCAATGCAACTGCAGGTATGTACTGATTTTTCTAATGGGGTGCAATGAAGCTTCCTTCAAGAACCACCCCAATCTGTTGGTTGAATTCTTTCGTTTCCAAGCCACTATTGGATTTGTAAATAACTCTAGACACACGTAGACACATGAGCAAAGGTTTCTTCCCCTCGGTATCTTGAAATAAATGTGGAAAGTTTCGAACAGGACTGCGAAGTATACCGATTATATAGATTAAATTATGCTCTGATGAGAATTCTAATATCCCACTATTAGAATTTATCAAAATAAAAAATATTGGTTTTTTAAACATAGCTCCTTCATTTTTAATGATAGAAAGTTTTTTAGATATAACTAACTAGCAGCCGCTCGCGACATCGTCTGCGTAACTTTAGGTTTGTGAGAATCCCACAGGAACCTAACATTCGGGAACAAAAGTATTACATGTCTCAATCCGGCCGATAAAATATACGTTTGCTGAATTTCATCCAAATCTGTTCAGCCGTTTTGACGTCTATAGTTTCATATTTATAATATTAGTAGAATAGCCGTCCGCGGCTTGGGTCGCGTTAACTTTATTTGTTTGAGTATCGGGTACCAATTTTTTTTTCTTTAACTATAAAGTAAGAAATTCAATTTCAATATCGTTCAATCAATTTAAGGCTGATTAACACTGCGGTAAGTACAGTAACGAATTAGAAATCGCACAGTTAAACAGTATGTAGTTAACTGGCAATTCTTTGTCCAACCGAGACGATAGCAATTTAATTCGCCAAGACATAAGTTAAATCGCTACTGTACTTACCGAAGTGTAAATCAGCCTTTAGGCTGTTACATACAAGCTTTCGATTTTATTTTGTTATTTCTGACCGCCGAAGGTTTTCAAATACCTCACGCTCATTTTTTTTAATATTGTTATTACCAATGAAAAAGAAAAAAAAAGAGTGCGAGGCATTTGAAAACCCCAGGCGGATAGAAATAACAAAATGAAATCGTAAGCGTTAGCGTTTTTCCAAAGCCACGGAGTACCCCCACTAGAGTCCGCATCACGCAAATTTTGTTTGAAATCAAAATCGCCAAAGTCGGTGGCGTGCAGGGAGATCAGCCGCGTTGTGATTGGACACGTCAAGGTCAGATGATATACTCAGTGCAGCGAAGTGATGAGGGTAAGATCGATTTTAGAAAATATCGATATTTTATATCGATAAATAAAGAACACCCGGCATTATGTGCCAAAGTTCTATACTTTTTTAATTTTTTTATCTGTGTTTCATAATTGGGTAACGTAGTCTGGCAATATTTGTCATCAGCAGCTAGCTGTCAATGTCAAATACGTAGGTTTGTCAATATAACCTCTATATGTAGCCGGGTCGTCAAGAGAAATAACGGATAAAAAGGCAATCACAGCAGAGAACATTCACAATCACAGTACGCGGGAGCGAATGATTTTTTTGTTTGTATTTTAGGATTGTCAAATTGACATTTGGTTTTTTATTTAGAAAAAGCAAAGGAATCATGGTTTTTACAGTCACTTGAGTAATATTTTAAGTAAAATTCTGTCCCTTGAAGATTTAGAGTTTCCATATCAAAAAATATTAATCATTATATAACTTCTTTCCACGATTCACTAAAAATAAGGCAAAATTAGTTTTATGTAGCAAATAATTTTGGCTTCATTTTGAGACCAAATTCAACTGTATACAAGTTTAGCATTTTTTCTATGAAAAGTGCCGGATCTCCATTGTACAGAGGCCTAATACTTTGGTGCGGTAGTGTAGCTATGCGCAAACATACTCTCTCCACTTTCTTCCAGCGTTCTAATTACATGACGCGACTAGTAGCTACATACTAAATAAAATATAAGCAACACAAAAAACACGTAAAAAAAATATCTAGATAGACAATAATATGCTGTTTATGACAACTTTTAAAACTTAAGGCGCCTTACTCATCGGCTCGGTACAGGTTCGTTTTGTTTGCGGGAGTGACTGTCAGTGGTAAAGTGACGAGAACATATGTAACTGTTTACAGTTGGAGTCCAATCTTTACGTTTAGTTGCACTTATCCAAAGTTCCTTCATCTTGGCACATTTTGGAAACCTATGAAATAAATAAAACAGGTAATGTTACTGTATTTTGATTCTCGCATCAGTCTGTAAGATATCACCTTAAATATCTCTTTAAAGATTTTGCTCGTTGCTGTTCTCGTGAAAGGCACATGCGATATACAGACTTAATGAATTTAACATTAATACGGTGACGTCCGTGGCTCTTGACTTAGCACACGCAAAATAACCTAAGTATAACCAAATTATTGATTTTGAAGGAACTTGGTAAATACTTATCAAATTTTATGCTAGCTAACACCCGCGACTTCATCCACGTTAACTTTAGTTTTTTGAAAATCCTAAAGAAACCTGACATTTTTCCGTTACAAAAAGTATTCTATACAACGATATTTTATACCCTAGATACGACAACATGTACAAAATCGTGGCCGAAACGTGACCAAAAGGTACATTTGACGATTCACAGAGGTCCGTAAGATGATCGCGTGGTCAAAATCAATGTAATGCATTATTTAAAAAAAAGCCACCTTTAATGCATACGGCATAAGCTCTTAATTAAAACGCATGCATCAAAGATTTATGGCAGTTCAAAATGCAAGTTCCTAAAATTTTACGACTTATTGTTATATGCGAAAGAAAATAGACCTTATTTTTTTTAACTTTTCGCGCTCAATTCTGAATGTGCTGTTAGCTATTATAGCAGGTACAGACCGCGAAGAAAAAAGACGGCTATAGGGCGACGTATAACCGACCATGCTTGAGTATCACAAATATGTTATATTAAATCAGTTTATAGTAAGTATTACAATAAAATTTGCTTCAAATGCGTTAAATTTATAATAATAATAAAAACGTTTATTTGGCTCAAATTATATAAATAACTTATTGTATTACATAAAGATGACTATGTACCAAATTATAAAAACATTAATTAGATACCTGTCGAAAAAACAACACTTTACGTACTATTAGTATTTTTTTCGCATTTTTACGGAGCTCTGCGGCATTTTGACTTTTCATCGGTCCGCGCGTGACTGTAAACCAAGAAGTGCTTGAATAAAGTTTAAGCACTTCTTGATTGGGACACATTTTGAGCGCTCGTGGTCTATCTAGGGTATTTAATATCGTTAATTCCATGACATTATCTAGGTCATAAAGTATGCGCACTTAATTTCATACAAATCGGTTTAATCGTGTAATAGTAACAAACATCCATACAAATTTTCGGGTTTAAAATTTTAGTACGATATGATAAAAAACTGTTGGTTGTATACTCATGATATCTGTTATTGTATACGATGAAATAAATAGTTTTTATTTATTTTTTCTATTTCCGTAGCTGACAAACTTATCGATAAACTTACGGGTACAGACATGAGCTGCGTCAAGTCACTAGCAATACACGTGCCGGTGTGAGAGCGGAATAGCATATATGATGTAGCGCATGCGAGAAAGGGATAGTGTTAAAAGACATCAACGCGTTCACCAAAAAATAAATACAATTAAAAGCAATTTCATATAAGAGTATTTTTGTCTTTTTGTAATGCATTTAAACTTACCGGTGAAAAGTAATACCATCTTTTTGAAGACTGGAAGTTTTACTCCACTTTCCACATAATTTAATTGCACAGTACGGCATTTTTTCTAGTTTTTTAACGCAAAAACGAGAGAAGCACTTCTGCTAACGCTCGGCTTCGGAATGAAACGATGTATAGCGACGTCTGTGGGCGGGTCTCACGCATACGTAATATACTACTTAAGCTTGGCGTAAGCGCTTGCCCTTGTATGCGGACTCTAGTGGGGGTGCTCCATGTCCAAAGCGTTTCCGTTAGGCGAATGACTCCCTGATGACTCACCCGATGTTTAGTGTTTAGCGTTGCCCGTTAGCACCAGGAATATCACAAATGCTATGCCGTCATTGAAGGAAGGAGTGCATTCATTTTTTAACGGTTTTCTAATCATAAAAATTGTTATCATTGAAACACAGGTTACAGAAATAAATATTATACAGTTTTCTTGTAATAAAATAACCATTATTGTTTTTTTAATCAGTTATGAAGTCTCTGGAGCAAGAGAAGCTCGTCGTTGATGTTAAGCAACTTTCGCAATGCAGACCATTACGAAAGTTGCTTAAATCGAGTTACTCCGTGCTTCAGAAGGCACGTTAAGCCGTTGGTCCCGGCACCCGCCAATCCGCACTGGGCCCGCGTGTTGGATCTTGGCTCAGTCTCCCTATTCCATGTATAGGGAAGGCCTGTGCCCCAGCAGTGGGGACATTATAGGCTGGTGATGATGAAGAAGTCTGTGTATCTTTTTTTTGTGTAAAAAGGGTTGGAAACTCGTGTATAGCCAATAGACGCTTGCGATACCAGAAGATCCTATTTCTTACCCCTCTGTCTGGTAAGAGAGACTGCAGTTGGCTGTAAGGTTATATTAGACATTCGTCTAAAACACAGGATCATTAGAGTCTCTAAGGCTTTAGGCAGAAATGTTGACGCGATCGGTTTCATACCTAGTACGGTAGCACTATAGAGTAGGTTAGAGTGAGAACGGTGTCGATGTATGAAACAGGAGCTCTATTTTTGAATCACTCGTCTTGCGTCGAACGCTCGATTTCTACTAAATTTCATTCGACATCATTAATTCCTTATTTTTGAGTGCAACGAATGGGTGAGACCACTCGCTGCATGGCGAACGGTGGAGGCGAATGATAGAATAATTGTCAAATTTTTTGTGCTATTAAACTACGATAATCTATCATTGTCATGCTTTATATGATATGACAACGAGAATTTTTTGTTCGGTTTTCATTGCGGTAATTATCGGTTTTTATTTTTTCTGCGTGAAATGAGTATAATTTCATATTTCGTATTAAACAGGTAAAACCGGTGACGAGTGACTCAAAAATACGGAAAATCAGTATTATGCGACTTGAAAGTCGAAGGTGACTTATGTCGCATTCGACGATACTATGTCAGACGAGTGATTCAAAAATAGAGCTCCAGGTCTCTTGTGCGTCACAACCCGATTGTTAAAGTAGCATTGTTCCTTAATTGGCTTGATTCTAGATTACTAACCTTGATATTTTTCTTTTCTATTTTTATTTAAATAAACTTTTTGATCAGACGAAGTTTTTTTCAAATAAGTTTAATATGAGTATTTATAGAATTTATAGTTTTAAATGGAGCTGATTACAAAAACAAATGTAGTATTTGTCTAAGACTATTATTAATGTTTCAGATTTTAGGACTATGCAGTCTTAATGGCACTGTAGTCACTGCAACTTAAAAGATCTATTTTGTGACTCGCCGTTACGTTAAAGTACTTATCTGTTTTAGCCAGACAGCTTTCAAGGAGTTCCGAGTTTCTGGAAATTCAATTTCCCCTAGTTAATAACCACTTTTGTGGATTACAATACCTATAATACGCTACTACATATAAAAGACATTATACTTTAAAAACACTGAAATGTATAAATAATAAGTTATGGCGAAAACAATTTGATATGTCTACAAAAACTAATATTCCTTTTAATACAGAATCTTAATATCCCTTTTAATATAGAATCTTAATAATATAAGTTTTTACCTCCTGGACTATGGAGAAATCGGAATTGTACCACCCATGCACAAACGTTCGTGAGTATATCGTAATAGTTATTTTAAGTTATACTTCAAGTATACCAATTACCAGGGTAATAAAAGCCGCTCGATGCGGGCAGCTGACCCAGTGCTGCCAGATCAAAAATACGATTGAGCGCTAAAATGATATAAAAAGCGCTAGATTATGCGTTTAATAATTTCAATTTTTTTATTAAATAAAAAACAGACAAACTCAACCAAAACGTCGAAATAAATGTATTGGATCTAAATTCAAAAATAATCTTCCATAGCTTAAATAGGGCAGGCTTCATTCTGGCCATTCATGTATTTTTTGTCTTACAATATTTTTAATTTTTCCCAAATCTAATCTGTCGCAATGTCTAAGTATATGATTTATTTTTAACTTACCCCAAAATTTAAACATAAATGAATGTAAACAAAATCATGGCAGAAATATTACTACTTATCCGTCGTGTTGTTTTGTGACGTATCAAAGATATATCGGTTTCATACATTTAGTAGTACGGTTAGAGTGAGAACGGAACGGAAAAAGCATAGTTCTAACCGTACTAAATAATATATGAAACCGTTACCTCTGACGCGTCACAACACAAGACGATAAATAGATCTAGTTCTGCCATAAAAAAAATTATGGGCTTCCCAAGGCCATAAATTATCGGTAATAGTGTTACAATGACATTAATGGAAAGCGCCTGATTATCCGATAGGGGCTAAAATTTTGAAATAGGCGCTAAACGCACGTCTGTGAAGTTAGCCCCCACTTTTTGAATTCTACATTCTATATAAAGTATTGATTTATTCCGAAAACTTAACATAACAAATTTTGCTTAGAATTTGTCTCTCTATCGATTCCTGGAGTTATTTTTATTAAAATAATTTTCATCCCCGAGAAGGGGTGGTTTCTACCCCCAGGGCAAAAGCGCAAGTTGACACTATGTCACTTTTGTTTCTTAAGATATTCCCCACCTACTCACCAAATTTCTTGAAAATCGATGGAGGTTCAACGAAATCCGAGGTTGTAGCTGATTTTTGCCTTCATTGACACCAATCAATGAAGGCAAAAATCATCAGAAAATAGTTTAATCTTTGTTTCATAATAGTACCAACTATTATGAAACAAAGATTAAACTATTTTCTTTGATACTGTTACATGTGTTGTGTACTAACTCGTTTAGATGTGATTTTATGGTAATTTAATGTCTGACTGACATGGAACCTACTCTTAAAATGCCAACAATTGCCCTATATTGTAATGTTTTCTTGTCTTATAATAATTAATTTTATTCAAAATGATTAAATGAAATTGGAACGATATAGCCCACGGTTGCACTGATACAATCATCATTGTTTAAAATTATTATTGATTAATTTACTGTCTCTAGTACGATTTTATTTTATAAATATAAGGTTTTTTTGCCCGGCAGCTTCAAATTTTAGTTTTTTCAAATAATACTTTGGAACAATGTTAAGAACAACTTGGAACAACTAAAAAAATAATGAATTTCCAAACATGGGGGGCTATCTCAAAAACGGTTTTTTTGCCTGACAGCTTTAAATTTGCGTATTTTTCAAATAATACTTTGAAACAATGTTAGTAACAACTTGGAATAACTAAAAAAATTATGAATTTTCCAAACATGGGGAGCTACCATAAAAACAGTTTTTTTAGTCTAGCAGCTTCAAATTTTAGTTTTTTCAAATAATGCTTTGGAACAATGTTAGGAACAACTAGAACAACTTGGAACAACTGAAAAAATATTGATTTCCAAACATGGGGTGGCTACCATAGAAAAACGTTTTTTTTTGGCAGCTTTAAATTTTAGTTTTTTCAAATAATACTTTGGAACAATGTAGAACAAACATAGAACAATCCAGAACAACATGGATAATAATAATATTCAAAAAGTGGGGGACTAACTTCACAGACGTGCTAAACACACCAGGGGGCCATTCGCCTAACGAAAATGCTTTGGAAAACGCTAACGCTTACGATTTCATTTTGTTATTTCTAGCCGCCTGAGGTTTTCAAATGCCTCGCGCTCTTTTTTTTCTTTTGCATTGGTAATAACAATATTTAAAAAAATGAGCGTTGGGTATTTCAAAACCTTCGGCTGTCAGAAATAACAAAATGAAATTGAAAGCGTTAGCGTTTTTCATAGCATTTTCGTTAGGCGAATGGCCCCCAGAAATGCACATGCATTTTTGTGGGAGCTCCCACAAAAATCCTCCCGGAACTATCCAAAATGGTAGCGGTCTCGCGTGAACTAGTTTTATATAACGCATCTGGTCCCAGTGGCCACGTGCTTTGCCGGAGGGGTTAATATTTAATTTTGCCCAGTATTTTAGAGTACCTAGCATGAAGGACTTTTACGTGTTCACATTTTGTAGGTTTCACTTCTCTCGCATGTAAACAGCACATGCCTGTTTTTTTTTCATTAGAATTATGGGCAATATCTTTTTTGCTTAAATTACGATTTCTGTGAGCCTTAACCATATATGTCGCTGAGTAGCCTCGAAGTTGTCAAGAGACATCTTCACAATCATTATACAATCGCTGTGTTTATTCGGAGTCGTCAGCAAGAGTGTTTGTCGGGTCGGAGTCGTGGGATATAGTCAAGCGTGGGATATGTCTGTAGGGTACTGTGGTGCTGCGGCTGCATGGCCCGCTGGTGGGCGGCGCGAGCCCACGGAGCCCCCAGCGAGTGGCTGGCTGGCCGCGCCACCTGCCCCGTGTGCCGCGCCACATTCTGTTTGCTGGACGTGAGTGTGGCCCGCCCCGCCCCCGTCTCTCACTGACCCGGCCCCGGGCCCCTCTATCATCACACGGAACCCCCAGCGAATGGCTGGCGGGCCGCGCTACCTTCTGTCTGCTGGACGTGTGTGGTTCGCCCCGCCTCCGTCTCTCACTGACCCGGCCCCGGGCCCCTCTATCATCACACGGAGCCCCCAACGAGTGGCTGGCGGGCCGCGCCACCTGCCCCGTGTGCCGCGCCACCTTCGGTCTGCTGGACGTGAGTGTGGCTCGCCCCGCGCCCGTCTCTCACTGACATCACACTATCATCACACCCTGACTACGAGATATCACCATCACAAAACAAAACTTAAAATTAAAACCCTTAACAACAACCTTTTAAGGCCACCAAAACAACAAATTTTTGCTAAATAGAAATAAAAATATCATCGTTATACTCTAAATGCAAATGAACGAATGATATGTATCACGACCTATACAAAAACATTCAAATAATCAAGATTTTGCTGTTAACCGAATTAACTACGGCTTTTATCTAACCCTTACCATCTGTACCATGAACCCAACAACTGTCTAGAGCAGTATCACGAACGCTTGAAGCAAAGCAATTATAATTACTAAAGTTTTGTCTTGGTTTCGTTAAGTCCTAAACTTTGGTCCTTCTAGCCAGATAGCTAAGAAAGTCCGTTAATTGATCTTGTTGCAACGCAATTGTGACTGAAAAAGTAAGAAAGGTTATAAATATACACTGTACTACGCGTTCGTTTCGAGTTGGCCGTTCCTACTCTCCTCGCCTCACCGCACCTAGACAGACCCAATTAGTCGACCCTATTGGCCGACGCACGGTACCAGTTCGTGTGCCTGTCTGTGATTGGCCAGTGAAACATTTTGTAACGGTTATCGACGGCCAACTCGGAGCGAATGGGAAGTATGCATAGACGACTAACTTCGCAGCGCCCCTATCTATTATTTATTAACATTACTTTTGATGTATTATACCTAACTGTAAGTATTGAGTATGTTTATATACTATATTATTTTTCCGTATTCTACTTTTTGTTATAATATTTTTTGTACTATTTAATTGAAATCTTCCTACCTTCTTTTATTTCTATAACTTTATTATTAGCTACCTTGTAGACTATTATCATAAAACACAATAATAGTAATAAATAGCTTATTACAAGAAAATATAAGTACCATATTTATGTGAAATCCGGAATTACAACGTGGTTGGTTTGGTATTTTTCAAAGAACGACTTTTTTTATTAAGGCAACCTGTACCAATATCGAATTAGATCTTTTATATTGAAATTTGAACAGCGCCACAACGGACGTAACAAGAATTAACAATCTTGATACTTGACGCGTATCAAAATCGAATTAAGTTATCGAATTCGATATTGGTTTGTGCTAAGGGTAGGTTCAGATTGTAGTGATGGAGAAAAATTGTACATTGTATAACTTTTGATACTTGCAGCAAATCTCTTTAATTGACTGTATATTCCTTTTTGCCATGTTATCTGAATGACTTTATAAAGAGTAGTACGATTTTTTTGACATATTAAGTAATAATTTAAAGTTTTCCAGCACAAACAAATTATATAAGTAAACTATGTGATGATATAAATTGTACTATTTAAACTAAAAATAATTATTTGAATACAATATTGTGATTTATTTCAAATAGATTTTTCTGTAACCAAAGTTAAGTTTTAGTTGTGTTTACATAAGTGCATCCAATCATCAACTGATCATTATTTTATTGTTAATTGTGATCCGTTTTTTTTATATATATAGATTTAATGAAATTAACAATGTAAAGGTGTTTATAATTTTTTATTAAGATGCGTATATGTTACGCTCAAAGATCGAAAACGCTCAGTGAGCGAAAAAATAGCTCACAACGCGTTGTGGTCACAGTAAAACATCCATATGGCGAAATTCGTGCTATGGCTCTAATGAAAACGCGCACGACGCGTTGTGGCAATCACAGAAAGACCAAATAGCGAAATTCGTGTTTTGGCTGACATGCTATTCGATCTCAACGCGTTGTGGCAATGAAGAAAAGCCATGACGCGTTCTGAGCATTCATTGTTTTAACCATATCACGACGGCACGAGTACCCAGGAATGTTATGTGTGTTATTATGAGCATTAATCCATCAGGTCTCTACCAGTTAGGAAACAAGGAAGGTACATTTCATAGACTTTATGCACGTAATGAGTTTACACTTTCTGAAACCAACTTTATTAACATTTGTGATGTGCCCTCAACTTCGTCATTAACACTTCGCTCAGCATCTATGTTATCATCTGGAAGTAAGCAAGGGTTTATAATGTTCCACTGCAAAATATACTGTATTGATAAAAAGTGCAAGTGTCGCTCCAAGAATATAAAATGCAACTCAAAATGCCACTGAAATAGTTCCTGTAAAAATAAATAGCAATCAAATACTTATTTTTCACAATTATAGTAATTTCTAATATAAGTTATTAATTTAAGTACATTGTTGTTGTTTATTGGTGATCAATAAACATTAATGTTTGTGTTAAATATTTTTATTACTTGAAATAATTTTAAATTGTTTATTTTAAGTGAATTATAAGTAATTTACAAATCAATAATATTTTGTGTTCAGTAATTTATTACTTGATAGTACATTGATTTCTTTAAATATAAAGTAATCTCAATAAATAACAAATATCGTTTTTAATAATGACAAACACGTTATGCACTGATTTTATAAAATAAAAAATATTTCCTAAAGACATCTACCAAAACGTTTCCAGCCTAGGCCTAGTAGGATCCATATCGGAAACTAGTGTGCGTCGTAATCAAATAATATTCGATACGCGTCATGGCTTTTCTTCATTGCCACAACGCGTTGAGATCGAATAGCATGTCAGCCACGACACGAATTTCGCTATTTGGTCTTTCTGTGATTGCCACACCACAACGCGTCATGCGCGTTTTTATTAGAGCCATAAGACGAATTTCGCCATGTGGATGTTTTACTGTGACCACAACGCGTTGTGAGCTATTTTTCCGCTCACTGAGCGTTTTCGATCTTAGAGCGTAACATATACATTAGAATATTTAAAGGCATTTATTATAAAGACAAAAGTCCTGTGACTGCAAAATTGTGTGAATGATTTTGAAATATTGTGAATGTTCACTCGCCATTTAAATCAATTTGTTTATTTGAAATTGTAAGTAATATTTGAGTTGGAATTGAATTTATTTATATTTTTATAAAATAATTGTGATTCTATTCTATAAGTGTATTATAAATAATAATTGTACTTTTATATGAAATATTCATTTTACATTGTCTAATTTTTAATGTATATTTGTACTCATTCCTATAATTATAGCGAAAATAAATGTAACGTTTTATTGTTGTAAATAAATAAATCTGTTATTTGGATTTTGACGAATTTTCGTCTCGCGCAATCCCGGAAATATTTTATTGCAAGTAAGTAGGTATTCTTTATTTCTAAGTTTACTTGATGAAAATAATTTGGGGTGTGGTACCTGCCTACCTACTAATTTACCTTGTTAATTAACCTGGCATAAGTTTATTCACAACTATCATTTAGGGGTCGAATGGAGTTTATTATTAACTCAATTCAAAAGTGGCCATAAAACAGGTTCCCCCTATTATTTGATAGCAAACCTGGTTGTTAACGACCACCACCTTGTTGGCGATGATCGATTATAAATTGCATGCGATCAAGAAGATAAAATCTAAAATTGTCGTGAACTCAATACCATCTAGTCATTGAATGATCGATGGACATTTGAACCTTTTCAAATTTGAAGTCTTGTTTAAGGGTGAATAAGGAGTCGGTTCGGCAGTAGGTATATTTATAAAAAATAACAGTAATTATTGCCGAACATTCATTCATTTACATATTTTTATTCGATTTTACTGCCCGGCTGTGCCAATTGATGCCGGCCGATCCGCTTATGTGTATAGCTAACCTCACAATTAACAATGAAACCGGCCGTTGGTGAAGCCGTCTCAAAGTATTTGAAGTCCACGACATTGCATGGGTTGAAATATTTAGTTACTCCTAATTACTGGGATCGGTAAGATTACAATTAATTTTCTGTCTCATATTGAATATGTAAGTATTCAATTTAGGTTTTTCTTATAGTCAAATTGAAGAAATCTTCATTTATATTCAGGCTTAGTGTATTAATTTTTTTTTTTTTTTATAGATAGGTCCGACAAGTGACTCCACCCCACCTGATGTTAAGTAAAGGTGAAGTCCAGACGTGACGATAGCTGATACAGCAGTTTTACCTGCCACACCAGCCATCTTCACCCTGCCGGCCTGCATGTTGCTTCTTCACGCCTCTTTTAAAGGATCCCAGGTTGTAAGAGGGAGGGAACACGTGAGCGGGCAGAGCATTCCATTTACGGATAGTGCGACAAAGAAATGAGTCACCAAATTTCTTTGTACGCGTTGGAATTGTGGCCACAGTTAGACGATGACAACGTAGGCCAGCGCGCGTGGTCCTCTGAAGGAAAGGAGAAGGTGGGATAAGAGAGAATAACTCCTCAGAACACTCGCCGTGGTACAGACGATAGAACGCGCTTAGTGACGCCACGTCACGGCGTAATTGAAGAGGCTCAAGGTGTTTAGTCACCTCCTCATCGCCTATGATGCGGATCGCGCGTCGCTGTAACCTATCCAAAGCATCGAGCAAGTACTTGGCGGAGCCATCCCAGAGGTGCGAGCAATATTCCACGCAGGACCGCACTTGTGTTTTGTACAACAAGCACAGTTGATCGGGCGTGAAAAAACGCCGCACCTTGTTCAGGACTCCGAGTTTGCGTGAAGCTGTTTGGATCACGGTTTCGATGTAGTTCTTTGGATTCAGGTCTGAGCGAACTTCCATACCGAGCATGGAAATGTTGCTCTGCAGCGGCAGTGTTGTGCCCTGAAGAGATGGAAGGGGAAGGAATGACGATGTTTTTGCCGTGAAAGCGCAAGCCTGAGTTTTTTTGGCATTGAACTCAACCAAGTTCCTGGTACCCCATTCGGAAATGTGGTCCAAAGCCTGATTGAGTTCAATGACAAGATTCTCGCGTTTCTCCTTGGTTACCGCCAGCCCAGCCGCTGCTTGTCCGAGATACCCCGCATGCACTGTACTATCGTCTGCATAGCAATGAATATTCCCAAGAGGAATTAAGTCATTGATATGCAGCAGAAAGAGAGTGGGGGATAGGACGGAGCCCTGGGGAACGCCGGCATTCACTGACATGAACCGCAAACTGCTACCATCCGTAAGGACACGAATTCTACGCTCATGCAGGAAGTCAGCTACCCAAGAACAGAACTGGGCTGGCAGACCGTATGCCGGAAGCTTGGAGAGAAGGCTTTTGCGGCAGACCCTGTCAAACGCCTTGGCAATGTCAAGGCTGATAGCCAACGGCTCGCCACGCTTGTCGATAGCCTCACCCCAGATATGAGTTAAGTACGCTAGAAGATCACCCGTCGATCGTTTCGGTCTAAAACCATATTGACGATCATTAATCAAGGAGTGATCCTCTAGGTAGCGGGTCAGATGGTTATTAAGGACCTTTTCTAAAACTTTACATAAAACTGAGGTGACTGCTATTGGCCGGTAGTTTGCCGGGTCTGAGCGATCCCCTTTTTTGGGCACCGGTTGCACATTGGCATCTCTCCAAGTCTCCGGCACACGCCCCAAAGAATACGAGCATTGGTACAAGCGCGTGAGCACGGGAGACAACTCCGCTGCACATTTTTTGAGTACTACTGCTGGGATGCCATCAGGTCCACTAGCTTTCCGGACGTCGAGTGATTGCAATTCGGCACGAACCTCGCGCTGCCTGATTTTAATATCACGCATCGTTGTGCCACAGTGAGGTAATGATGGTGGCAGTGCATTGCAATCATCGATTCGGAGTAGCTAATGGCAGATCGACACAATAAACCAGATTGCATCATGGCTAAACGAAGACCGCCGCATTGTATATCGATGCTATCAAAGATAAATGATTGGTCTCGCTACGGGAGAGTAGCGAGACCAATCATTTATCTATGGATGCTAAAGGACATTAATTTCTCCTTCAAATGCTGTAACACAATACGGCTAAATGTATTGTAGTTTAATAAGTTATTATAGCCGCTTATAGACGTATTGTAGTTTTATGAGTTAATATTCTGGCAGTTTTAGAACTAATTTCCACTAAAATGTCAGGTATATATATAACCTATTACAGAACATTATTCGTAATGAGTCATTTTGTCATCTATCCACCCTAATACGAATCGGCTTTTAATCATTTTTTTATAACTAGCTGGAATAAGTGAAACCTATTACTGATACGGGGAAATTGCAATGTGACTACGGCATTGATAAACAAATAGACAGAATAAGATGATTGTTTGAATGTGTATGCTGTTGGTCGCAGATGACCTTTCAGCGTCACCGAGTTTGGGGACGCTGAGATCCTAAAGGGACCTCAAGCCGTGAAGAGGCGAGTGAGAGGTATTCCAGGCGGATGGTATCTCCCCACGGGGGGAGTCTCCTCTCCGTCTGGAGCCTCTAGATCACTCTAACTTGAGGGGTGAGAATAGTGTGAGCTCATTTTCTCAATGTTTTGTACATGAGGAAGGCTTGTCATTTAGTAGTGGGGAGATAAGAAAGCTATTATAATGAACAGGTTGGTGGCACAGTAGTAAACGCGTTCTGCCTGCGATCGCGGAAATTCAGCTACTTTGGCAATGACAGATCGTAGGGGTAGGACCAAAAATTTGTTACCTCTGCCTCTGTGTCTGTCTCCGTGCTTCGGAAGCCACATAAAGCTGTTGGTTTTGGCTGCATCTGCAGTAGTAAGCATCCTTTTTATTATTACGCAGGCAAAACCTCTTTATCATTCTCTAGTCTATTTGCCTTAAGGGACACACTAACGAACGGACCTCACACCTAGCCTCTCGCAAGTCACACTGGTGCGAAACGGAGAAGCCGTTAACAGACCGCGCGGCTTACAAGCGCTTACGGCTTATGGTTAAAACCCTGCGAATACCCTCTACGCTGTTAAGTGCGGAACCCCGAGATCCCCGTTGAGGGATTTCACCGCGTGCAGTAGTAAGCATCCCAGGCCTGTGGTCATGGCTCGATCTCTCTATTCCATCCATAGGGAACTAGGGAAGGCTTGTGCCTCAGCAATGTGAAAATTAATAGGCTTATACTTATAGTAAAGATTGAAGTGTCGGTTGGCTAATCAGTTGTCTGCGTAGCGAGCACGGAAGTTCTTGTGTGCACACTGGGCTCAGGTAGTGGGTCATCATGACACTATCTCCCTATTCCATCGATGAGGAAGGACTGTGTCTCAGCAGTGGGAGCATTAATAGGCTGATTATGATGACAATGGTGAAGATATTGCAGCGTCGGCTGGCTAACCAGTTGCGTGGCGAGCGCGTGTTGCGCGGGAGTGCTGTGCGCCGTGCTGTGGGAACGGTTCCTGAACTTGCCAGCTCTGCTATCCGTAACCCAGTTCAATGATATGTACGACTATGACGACAACCCAGCTACACCCACAATAGCCGTCTGCCAACCGCCTGATGCGATCGCTGATACTTTTTTGACTCATTTGTAAGTAGTAAATTAAAATGCAATATTCATTTATTCAGTTTAGGCTTTTACAAGCACATGAGAAAGTCTAAAGCTACGCCATCGGTTCTCAAATCTACGGCGGGAGACTTTGTACTGAGAATAACCTTCAAGAAGCTTAGCAAGGGCTATTTTTTCCTGTATTATTTCATAGGTTGTCGTCAAATTGAAAGCTGTCATCAAACTTATAAACATGTATTGAGGCCAACTTCCATCACATAATGTAAAATAGATAACAATAAATAACAAAAGTCCCTAAAGTTTAAAAAAGACTAAGTGCAATGTTCTCTTCAATACTCCTTTTGAGAAGACAAGTTTCATATAACTGTAAAAAAATCTGTAGGTATTAGGTTTTTTTTATATTCGAGCAAACTTACTACTTACTCTCTCTCTTTATCTGTCGCTCAATATTTATAATACAAGAGGTCGCCCGCGACTTCGTCTGCGTTAACTTAGTTTCGTGACTTTCTTGAAAATCCCTCTGGAACCTAAGATTTTTGGGTGTCAGCTAGCTCCATCAAATTTTATTAAAATCGCTTCAGCCGTTTAGACATGAAGAAGTAACAAACATACACACTCACACACTCACAAACTTTCGCCTTTATAATAGTCTGGAAAAGAATCATCCACATTAATATATGAGATTGTCTATTAAAGTTCTTATCGTTAATACACTATAGCTTTAAGTAGCGTCAGCGTGGACTTTAAATCTAGCTCACGATTTATAGCTAGCGCACATAAACATTAGTTGGGAAAATCAGTATAAGTATATATAGATGTAAATAAGAATAAATATTGCTCTTAGTTATCAAGCGACACACTGGCTGTTTGATTCCTCATCTCCTGTCACTAGGAGCCAAAGCTAAAAATACCAAATCAAATAGTTGCTTTGTTCAAGGGTGAACAATAACGATAACAAATCGAGGCTCTCGTTGGCATTCGCGAAAGCAGTGCAAGGTAAGGACACTGTGGAGAGTCATCTCCATTATCTCGAGGATTTGTTTCGAACGAACAATCTGGACCTGCTGGAAGTGCTTGAGACCTATACTCCGGAGTGCTCTCAGCTGATCGGGAGATGTAGGTGGCACAATGTGATGGTGCCATGCGAGAGGCTGTTCGAGAAGGAACTTACTTTGAGGGGAGTGTGCTGCATCGCTAATCCTGCTAGGCAAGTATAAATCTGTGTTCTATCTATTGGGATTTTTGCGACCAGTGTAGGGCCAGGGACCATTATTATTAGCACATGAATCTTGCAATCATGTTAGTTATGACATCCTGGCCGAGTGTCGACCAGCAATGAGGAGCTCGATAGTCTTTAGTCTTTTATACCTCATTTTTCACAACATTAATAAAAGCTTTGCAGCTTGAAAAATGTGACGTGTGGAAAATATGACTTTAGCGATTAATTTTAAAAGAAGTTATTTTACAGATTGTCAAAAGTAAAGTTGCCTGCGATGTTTCGCTTAGACAAAAATGGAAAGTTGGATTTGGTATTGAATTGTTATGACGGATCCCGATTAAATGGCTGCGAGGTAAGAACCAGTGCAACTTTATAAAATTTATCTTTACCCTATTATTAATCGCTGTGCGTTGTAATTTGCTCCTTAAGACGGTTTTTTTCCTTTAATACTAAGAAATGCTTGCCTGTCGGTTCCTGGTTTTTACTGCACGTCTCAAGCCCAACAACGAACGGTAGTATTATTTCAATGCCCTGTAGACATCATCATAACCCTCAAAGTGGAGGTTACTTACGTTACCTAGATGGATGAACCGATTTAAACGGATATCTGCCGCTCTACCAAGCTAACTCGATTACAATTTTGACCATTCGATGTTAGGTTTTTCTTTATTCAATTTATATGCAAGTATATGTTATGTTTTTAAGTTCTTCACTAAGTACATGTCGGAGGAGTGGGTCACGCCGTTGACATTGTCCGCGGGCCGCATGTACTTCGCAGAGCTGGTGGCTACCTTCGAGAAAGACATCAATGATGAGAAGCTGCTGGTCGGCACCTGCGTCTCCGACGCGGGGTACTCACAACGACAGTGCTTTGTTAGTAAAAATATTAAATTTTTGTGTTAGAATTCGGTCCTCACTGTAGGTGTCCACATCTACAGTTAAAAGCGGACGCGAGCTGAGAGACATTTGAGAAATAGGTATTTGAAAAAACTATTGCTATCGCGCATTGACAAATACCGTGCGATAGGGACAACAGTAGCTAACGCTAAAAATTGCATGTTTAGAGCTTTGGCTCTCCACGATTTCCTCCACGAAAATTAGATTTATAAATTTTACACGTAGAATAATAAGTAGTTATACTAGACCCTTCTCTCCCTTACCTAAGTCGGCCGCTGTCGCGCGCTTCCGCCACTTTAGTAGCCACTTTTAGATTCTCGTGGCGGCGTTTATGGCTGTGGCGTGTGGCCCGTGTGCGGTGACACTAAGTAGTTCACGACCAAAATGCGCTGGCATTAACTTAATCAAATTGTAATCAACGACGTCTCTTTGATTGTATTTCTGGTTTTGGTCCTTCGAGAACTACCTCCGCTTTTGTAAAAATTAAGAATTTGCTTAGAATAAGCAGGTTATTTTACGAATCTACCAATAGTCCGATAGGTATACTTAAACCGCCTTTTTACCAAAGTTAAACTTGGATTGAAAGTGATGTTGTCACTTTTGTTTGCTAAAAAGAAGACAGAGACAACATTAGGTTTAAACCAAGACTAACTTCAGTCCGCATTTTGAATTAAGACGGCATACCGTCTAAGATAAACCATAGTTTATCTTTGCAGGAGAGGATTAGAGAACAGTATTGTGGTTGTCACAATCCATTGGAGGTGAGCGAGAGAAGTACCAACAGACGGCTTAAGCCGTGTCGTTTAAACCAAATCGAGTGCCTCAAGACATTCGGAAAAGGTTTGTCATGTGCCTTCATAACTTTTTTAGTAAATAAGACAGCAAACAGTTTAATGACACTCGAATTTAATGATAGCAAACACAACAATATAAATAAAAAAAGGTTTCTTAGCATAACACTTGCAATCAATGATATTTGATTAATTAAATTATTATAGTGGACGTGTGGGAGTCGCTCGGTAAAGCGTCGCCCTCGGGGAAACGGATCCCCAAAACACTCTTATTTTTAATCGTAATTTACAGACTATTAGATGTGTCGTAATTATTGCTATAGCGTGCCGGCCTTAGGTATCTATTTAGCCGTAAGGGCAGTCTACAGGCGTTGTCTTGTAGTTAGTACCACCTCTAATAGATGGCTTTGCCGGTTCTCAATACTTTTATGATTATATAATATGCTGCGACGGTTATATAGTACACCTTAAGCGCGGGCTACACCGAGAGTAAAATGAACTTTGTAAGTGAAGCTAACAAATAAGCGCGGCTAAATAAATAAGATACAAATAAGCGCACCTTTATTCTCATTATTTTGATCGTCGAACTAGTGAGTTTTTTTTTCTTATTTTTTCTACCGTCAAACTACTGAGACTTTATTGTTGTCATTTGTTCGCCTCGAACTTATTTTAATCGATAAATTAAAAGCATGTTTTTTAATAATATTTCTCTTCTACGGGTGCACATTCCCTTGTCAATCTTGCATTAAATCAATATACATTTATAAAATAATTATTTTGAAAATAGTATCAGGAGACCATTCATAAGTAAGAGGTTCTAATGAAAATGGATAAATAAAAGAAAATAAGTTCGACAACGGTCGAACAAATGAGAAAAAAGAACTCACTAGGTTGACGATCGAACATATGAATGAAACAAATGGGAATAAAGGTCCCCGCCCAAGGGACGGGACTTCGCTGGTACTGTGTTGGTTGGGTTCGGCCAGAAAGGTTTTGATATACCTTGTCAATCTCCGAGGGAGTGAGTGGTATGTACACCGATTTTCAAGGTGTCGCCAATTTAGAGGTCCTGTTTGGATCCCAATGGGGCAAATGTTTGTATCATGAATATTTTAACGTGTCCAGAAAAATATAAAACATCTATCTAAAAGTGAAACTTCTTTGCGCGCGATGAGGGTAACTTTTTAAGGCCGCGTCACGACTTGAGCGACGATTTTAAATTCTAAAGGACAGTGTTTTTGTTTTTATTGTTTTTTAAATAATGTAATTATGTTATTATATTTTTTTATAATTATTATTATAATCAAAGTTCGTTTCACTCCTGACATGCTTACTCTGTACACATGCTTTTTTTTCTATTCTACTCAATGTGTTTAAGATAATTATTCCACCACGTGCCTGCCGCCCTGCAAGAGAGTTAAGACGAAGTTTATATTAGAATCCGGTAAACTGACTAATCTACAGTATACTTTGGATCCATTAACGTAAGTATTATCGGACGCCCGCATCCAGAGACGTGAATTATCTTTGATTATTTATGATAGTGTCACTTTCTTTGTATATATATGTTGACCTGATACAGTTTCATACATGAATTACTTTAATTTAATCTTACAGGATGGGAATAAATGCTACTCAGACATCTGTACTGCGCCTTATAATAAACACCTATGATTCTAACATGCTCCTTCTAATTCCGACCGAAACCTGGCTGACTCTCTTGTGTGAGTTAAATGTGCTGATTTTGGTCAAAAATTTAAAGTAAAAACATAATTAAAATACTATCGAAGTAGATTTTCTGTACCATAATAAAAAAGTACTGCACTGGATGTAAAGTCCAGTATTTTCGGTCTATCAACCAATGGGTGATTCCTGGGACCCATGATTTTAAGGGTCACATTGAAATATTAACTGGAGTAATACACCAACTTGAATAAAGTACCACTCCAAACTTTACTTAACTATTGTAGTGTTGATGCTCATTGATAAAAATAATATTTAATTAAAGAAATTGGTTAAACATTTGAAACTGAAAAACGCGGATATTTCACTAGATTTTCCCGTGTCACACGCGCGACTCTTGCTATGTTATAGTAAATATTTGTTTTGAAGCTCAAGGTTATACATGAATTTATACTTTTTTAAATACATAAAGAGTTATTCTATTAGATCATGAATAAACTGTTCTAAAATAATCAAAGTCCTAGTATACCTTTATTCGTTCAAATACATGTCACGCGGCGGGCATAGTTTCAATCTCACGGTGAAACTATGACAATTAATTTAGTGGAATACGCGGTAATCGTCTTGCGATTGGTCCAAAAGATCGCTTGTTGGCCGGCAGTGTTGGGACGGGAAGGTAGTGTCCGTAGATTTGCCCCAAAAATTTTGGTAAGTTCTTTGACTTCTGCAAATGTTTGTCCAACGGGGTAGGTATAACTCGTGGCTCGTTTTGCTTAAACGTTAAATTGAGAATAGTTTCACTTAACTGGTCTTTGATTAATAATACGTATATCCCTATGTAGGCACTGGAGTACAAATAAATACGATTTTATTTATAGTTTTAAAGTAATACCTTCATATTTGAATTATCGTCAGATTCGTGGTCGTAAGATCCGTGGATTTAAGCCATGGATCTGACCACATAATAATATAGCTTCACTGCCGCCGTGGTGTAACGGTTAATGCGTTGGACTTCCAACCTGAAGGTCGTGGGTTCGAATCCCGCGCGGTCCAACATAATATCTCCTGCGTAGCTGAGATTAATCTCGCTGAGATTAGCCGCTGTGGTAGAAATCGACCAGGAGGCCTAATTTTCACAGCTTCAACCATTTTTTTTTCAGTTTTATTTTTAGTTTTATTCAGATTCTAACGTGACGCCATTACTTGATTCATATACTTCGTCAGATCCGTGATGCCCTTGGTCAGATCCGTAGCGAGCAAAACATTTTCTTTTTTTTTTTCAAGAATCTTTATGGTCTACGTGTGTGCCTCATCTACAGAATGACTTGTTTTTCAACCATCTTTAGCCATATAATTTTAGTTTTTTCTAATAATGAAATAAAATAAAAGCCGCGGATCTGATGCGAAGAACGTTGGTCCCAGGAATCACCCATTCAATATATAATATTATTTTCTTATTTACAGCTTCTCTGGGTGGTGTTTTCAGCATGTTTTTGGGAGTTGGGTTTATAAGTACATTAGAAATTTTATTTTTTATAATCGTGAAATTACCTGTTGCAATAAAGCAGAAGCCCGATATAGAATTTTCTAAAAATGCGAGGATTAAAATATTACCCTTACCGTAAATCGATAAAATAGGAACAGAGATACCTTCTTAGTTTCATTTCTAAAAACACCTACCTATTGTTGAATTTGGATCATTTCAAAGTTTACGTGATGTCTTTTTTGAATGAATGCTTGGCTTTGTGGATGTAAATATAATGACTGTTCTTTAGTGAGAACAAAAAATAAAAAATAGTTTTTGGCGGAATTTCATCGAGTGCGGTTGGCGTCTTATTTTAGTTATTCTTTAATTCGTTCATAGTGGATATTGTGAAATAAAATTGGTGTGATTTTATGTTATAACCGTCCGCGCAACTGAAGGATTAGTGGAATCTTTAAAATGTACGCTATTCAGGTCAAGTGAACATGAGCTAGCAGTAGTAGTAGTAGCTTTGACTACCTCACAGAAGCTTACCGGAAAAGCCAACTCAATACATTTCGTGCCAAACTCTCCAACAAACATAAGAATGAGTCAAATCGACATTCTAATGTAAAAAACGAAGATTAATGAAATTAAAGACTTGGCTGTATGGCATTGTCATCGTCTTTGCCTTTTCCGTTTAATGAACGGAGAGAACAGAACCAAAAAAAAAGTAGCTAGAGGTTGACTGACTTTAATAAAAGACTTTTTGGCGGACTTCCGAGGCGGGAAGTTTAATTTTCTTTTTGATTGAATAAACATTTTATTTTCCTTGTTTAATCACATAGTAAACTAGCTTTTTAAGAGAAATGAGTTCCGAAAGTGGTGGTAGTAAAAAGAGAAAAGCTGAAACCCCAGTTACTAATCTCTTCGATGATGAAAACTTAAACCCTTTTGCACCATATTTCAAGCAGAACCACATCAGAAGCTATCCAGAGAATTCTCCCGGTACTGTCTTTCCTGTTTATATTCAAAGCAGTAATGAAAGCATTAAATTTGGCAACAAAGACCCCATTTATTTAAACAATATAT